AAACACTGAAACTAAACGTTTAGAAATTACTTGTACTTTAATAATATCTACGCCATGTTCATATAAAGCGCGGGATATGTACAAATTAGTTAAAGTAATATTAAATTTAGTAAATTAAATATTCATTAAAATTAAATCCATAGGAAACGAAAATTATATTAATTTAAAAACTAAATGCTTGCTAAAATTAAATATTTAGAAACTACCTATGTATGTTTAATAGTGATTATTGCGAAAGTGATCTCTACGCCGGCTTTAACTGGCTTGAAATATATTATCTGGATAATATAAAGATGTATAATACTGAAATATGTTAAATTATACTACATTATATAATAAATATGCAGCGTTAAAATATATTATATAATATATATAATAATAATAACATAATTTATATATAATAATATATTATAATTTATATATATTGTATAATACTACTATATATATTATATAATACCATAATACTACCAATAATATATTATAATTTATATATATTAATACTATAATACTACCAATAATATATTAATATTATAATTTATATACATTATATATTATTTTAATATATTATAATTTATATATAATAATATAATAATATTAATATATATGTATAGTAAGTATAATGCATAATAAATATGCAGCATTAAAATATATTAAAATGTAGGGTCCACTTGGAAGAACAGTGGGGTTAATCTAGAAAGAAATTTTACCATTTGAAATGAAATAATCCAACAGGCAAGCCATCTCCAAACGACGATATTATCGAATTACACGAGTCTACGGAGATTACTTTCGTAAGCAATTGCTCCCCGGAGGATAATATTATCGGACAAACGGTCGTATATACACATTAGCGTGCAATTGTTTTCGCGTGGCAAGCGAATCACCCGGCAATTATTAATTCTCTCCCCGAGCGAATCGGTGGAACGCGCTGTCCCGCAAGGACTGCCCCCCCGTAAAATATGATATCGCGCTCTCGTGCATGTACGAAAACTCTAATGAATATACATAGACGTTGAGTGTGCTTGGTACGAGATGAAATTGTATCGGGCATCCCGTTACGACGCAAATACCCAGAAAATAACGATTCGAAAATGAGAGCTATCGTTCCCTAGGAGGAGTTTTGAATTCACCGTAACGAAGGAGACTCATAATGTAAGATGGAATGAAGTTCTCAGTCGTGAAATACATTTGAACGTGCTTTTTCTTTTTCTTCCTTTCATGGAGACGAACACTTTGGCCGTTGACTCTTTATAGTTTTAGTTATATTATATATTTATATATATTACATACATATATAATATTATATTATATATACTATTATTATTATTATTATATAATCCATTATTATGAAATTGCATAAAGATCATTCAGTTAATAAATATTACATAAATATTATATAAATACTATAAATACTATAAGTACTATATTAATATTATATTAATACTATAATATTACTAATATTAATACAATATTACTAGTATTAATAATATTACTAATATTAATACAATAGTAGAACTATTCATATGAAATACTATAAATACTGTATTATACTATATACTGTATTATACTATAATATTAATACTATAATACTACCAATATTATTAATACCAATACTACCTACTAATAATACCAATATTATTAATAATAACATAAAATACTATAAATACTATAACATAAAATACTATAATACTATGTATATAGTGGGTTGTATTATAGATTTAGATATTATATATAAATACTATAAGTACTGTATTATATTAATACTATAATACGACCAATATTATTAATACAATATTAATACTATTAACATAAAATACTATAAATACTATGTATATAGTGGGTTATATTATAGATTTATATATAAATACTAAAAATACTGTATTATAGTAATACTATAATTCTACCATTATTATTAATGCAATATTAACTCTACTAATATTACTATAAATACTATGTTACATAGTGGGTTATATTATAGATTTAGATATTATATATAAATGCTATAAATACTGTATTACATTAATATTATATTAATACTATAATACTACCATTAATATTAATACAATATTAATGCTATTATTATAAAATACTATATTATATGGTGGGTTATATTATAGATTTAAGTATTATATATAAATACTATGAATAATGTATTGTATTAATACTATAATACTCCCATATCATTAATATAATATTAATACTTTTATATTAACATAAATATAAAATACTAGTATTAATATTAATACTTTAATATTAATATTAATATAAAACACTATAAATACTATTATATAGTGGGTTATATTATAGAGTTATATATTATATATAAATATTATAAATACTGTATTATATTAATATTATTTTAATACTATAATACTACCAATAATATTAATACAATATTAATGCTATTAATATAAAATACTATAAATGCTATATTATATGGTGGGTTACATTATAGATTTAGATATTATATACAAATACTATAAATACTGTATTGTATTTATACTATAATACTCCCATATCATTAATACAATATTAATACTTTTATATTAACATTAATATAAAATACTAGTATTAATATTAATACTTTAATATTAATATTAATATAAAACACTATAAATACTATTATATAGTGGGTTATATTATAGAGTTAGATATTATATACAAATACTATAAATACTGTATTATATTAATATTATCTTAATACTATAATACTACCAATAGTATTAATACAATATTAATGCTATTAATATAAAATACTATAAATGCTATATTATATGGTGGTATATTATATTACATTATAGATATTATATATAAATACTGTATATTATATTATATAAATACTACAAATGCTGTACATTATATTATATACTATATTACCCAGTTATCTACAGTGAACTGTACTTCTTCGCGCGAACACTGACGCTCAATCCGCCCCGCCGTTCCATCGATCATCGTCCCGCAAGAACTCGATAACTCGATCGGCGAAATTCAGCCATCTATTACCGCGACATCGTACGGTGGAAACGGTGATTCGTAACGCAGGCTGTTATTATTCGATGCGGAGGGCGGTCGTGTCGCGATCCACGCGGATCGAATCTCGCGGCCGGCTGGCAAATAAAATCCGATTTGCATCGATGTTTTCCCGATCACCGGCAGGAGAGGGAACCGGTTCGAACCGCGAGTCGCGTTAGGCGTGAAACGAACGCGGACGGATTTAAAGCGAGCGGGCACGGCCTCGACCTCTCGGCTCCGGAACCTCGATGGACAGCTGCCACTTGTGGCACCGTGTAATTAGATGACGCGGCCCGGCTGCGTTTGTCACTGTCAAAAAGCCGACAGAACTGTTGATCCTCGGGAATTTATCGCTCGCAGAGTGGCTAACTGCTCGCCGTTTCGCGTGCTAACGCGCCCCGATCGAGGACGAGGGTTTTTCCAGAAGTGTCCGGGCCGGTCGCTCGTTTTATGCCGCTACGAGTGCGCTCTCGCTTCAACGACCAGCGTCCCGATTGCCAGGATCAAGCAGAAATATATTAGCAAAATATTAGATCACACGCGATTTCGTGATTTTGCAGATGGAAATACATTCGTGGATTCGTTGAAAAGAGGAATTATCGGTCAGGTTCGCTGTAGGTGGATCTTCTCTTCACGGCCTTGGACGGTTAAGGGGGCAGGACAGTTTGACGGGGCCTAGAAATTACGAATTCTTTGGAGGGCTAGTAAGGAAAAAGTACATATGTGATTGACGTGAGCTTTTGTAGTTTATTTTAATAAATTAGGAACTGTAAAAAGCAACACTAGAAGCTTTTATTTAACTATTTAACGGCATCCTTTTACATAATTTTTCTTTTGCATTGCCTATCGGTGTGCATGATTGCAACCAAACAGGATCAGTTGCAACAAAAAGGCAAGAAATGTTCAATATTCTCTAGGAATCGACGATCCAACATTTTCGTTTCTGTGAAAATTATGAAAACAGCAGCTATTTGTTTTTGATATATCGAATTTGTGCCAAAAATTTCTACGTTTTTTTGTTTATATTTCGCGAAATTGTTAAAAATTAAAAAATGTTCGATCGTCAATCCCTAGTAAATGTTACGCTAATGATACGCACCAAGTTTCACTGTAATCGGTTGGTTAAATTCCGAGATATCTTGCACACCGTTTCGAAAAACCGAGTTTCGAGAAAAACGCGTTTAAAGTTTCAGAACGTCATTTTTCATATGTATCCTTTACTTACTTTTTTTTACTTATATATTACAGCTCACAGTTCTTACAATTCACAACTAAACTGAATCCAAGTCCCCTAATATTCGATTCACCAAAAGTAATATTCGAATCACACGATCTACACTTTATAATACTGCTTAAAGCTGTAAACAGTGATACAAATTCAATTATTCTGCATCCGCGGATTTATTATTATATCTCAAAGTAACTCGTTTCAAAAGCTAGGATCTTTCGTATCTTATTTCTAAGATTTCAAGCTACTATTTAAAACAAAACAACAAAAATCGATTTTTCTTGAAAATTTCAAACTGTCCTGACCCTTTGATTCCCTATGAAAAATCTACTTCCATTCGCGAAAACCGTTGCAAAAGTAAACGTGCAATCTTTGCTAAATTTGCTAAAAATTGCCACGACGCGAGTAAAAGGTGAAATGAAATTAAATTAAATCTCTTTGCTGTAACTGAGATTAAAAATTAAAAATTCGTTTGGAGAAAAATTCATTCCCCGTGATAAGATCGTACGTACAGAAATAATTTCGCTATAGATGGATTTTACACCATTCGCGATTCAATTTTCGTTGATTCTGTTTAGATGGTTAGATAAAAATCGTGGACGAACGACGAGCTGTCTATAACAGGGCGCTAAGATGATGAACGATCCGAGCCACGGTCTTGCATCCCTTCGATTTTCACGAGAGGGAACAGTAGCGGCGCGGCGATGGCCCGAGTCAAATTGGTCGTAACTAAATTCGAAATCAATCATTCTGATTTCAGCCTGTCCGGAATCCAGGCCAGAGTGGATGGAACTGGCCGGCGGGGGCGCGGTGTGTTATGCCCCGTCACGTCTCGGTAAACTGGTGCTGCGTATCACTGGATTTCCAAGGGTCACTCAGCAGTGTCATCAGAGTCAACAGCAGGAGGACAGTCACCATCGCGAGACCAGACACTTATATCTCGGCTTTCACCACCCGTGGGACAGGGACTTGTGGAAAAGTTGGATCAAACAGGCAAGTCGAACAATCTATAAGTTAGCGATTTTTTATCAATTTTTTTGGTTTCTTCTCCTTATCCTTTGGTTTCTCTCTTCTGTCTTGGAAAAAAGAGAAATTGTATCGATGAAAATGCAAGAAAGAAGTTTCAGTAGAGTATTAGTTTTTAGGTAGAGTTTGCTTTTAGCCCAGAAAAATGAATTGTCCAAGAACGGTGTAATATAATACAAGGTTCTTGATTATTCCTACGAAATCTGTCTAATATTTTTATTATTTGTCTCTCTCTTCCTATCTTTTTCACTAACTCTGTGGAAATATTGTAAGAAGAGAGCTATAGTGAGATATAGAGCGTTTCAGATTTGATAGATTTCTTATATTTTTTGGTTCAAAGAAATAAAAGGGTAAAAAGAGAAAATGTTCATGATCAGTGAATGCAGAAATGAAGTTTTGGTTATTCCTGGGAAATCTGTCTAATATTTTTATTATTTATCTCTTCTATCTTTTTCACCAATTCTGTGGAAATATTGTAAGAAGAGAGCTATAGTGAGATGTAGAGCGTTTCAGATTTGGTAGATTTCTTTTACTTTTTGGTTCAAAAAAATAAAAGGGTAAAAAGAGAAAATGTTCATGATCAGTGAATGCAGAAATGAAGTTTTGGTTATTCCTACGAAATCTATCTAATATTTTTATTGTTTATCTCTATTCTTTTTCACCAACTCTGTGGAAATATTGTAAGAAGAGAGCTATAGTGAGATGTAGACCGTTTCAGATTTGGTAGATTTCTTTTACTTTTTGGTTCAAAAAAATAAAAGGGTAAAAAGAGAAAAATGTTCATGATCAGTGAATGCAGAAATGAAGTTTTGGTTATTCCTACGAAATCTGTCTAATATTTTTATTGTTTATCTCTATTCTTTTTCACCAACTCTGTGGAAATATTGTAAGAAGAGAGCTATAGTGAGATGTAGACCGTTTCAGATTTGGTAGATTTCTTTTACTTTTTGGTTCAAAAAAATAAAAGGGTAAAAAGAGAAAAATGTTCATGATCAGTGAATGCAGAAATGAAGTTTTGGTTATTCCTACGAAATCTGTCTAATATTTTTATTGTTTATCTCTATTCTTTTTCACCAACTCTGTGGAAATATTGTAAGAAGAGAGCTATAGTGAGATGTAGACCGTTTCAGATTTGGTAGATTTCTTTTACTTTTTGGTTCAGAAAAATAAAAGGGTAAAAAGAGGAAATATTCATAATCAGAGAATACAGAAATGAAGTTTTGGTTATTCCTGGGAAATCTGTCTAATATTTTTATTATTTATCTCTCTCTTCCTATCTTTTTCACTAACTCTGTGGAAATATTGTAAGAAGAGAGCTATAGTGAGATATAGACCATTTCAGATTTGGTAAATTTCTTATATTTTTTGGTTCAGAAAAATAAAAGGGTAAAAAGAGAAATTGTTCAGTAAATGCATTTCTTTTTTTTACCTCTTTCGCTAACTCTCTTTTATCGAAAATTCCATCAATAAAAATGCAAGGGAACGTGAGATATACAGGGAGTTTCAAAATCTGACAGTTAAAAAATAATAAAAAGGTGAACGTTCAAGAATCCGGTGAACAGAGAAACGAACGTCCGTTTCTACGAAACACTTTTACTCTTCGCGAGAAAAACTGCACCCTATCGGAACTTAAGAAGAAAACGTGACTGTTCGAACGAATCGTTCCCCGCGCACCGATGTCAGTTAAATTCTAATCGTTCCGGCCGTTCAACGGGCGTCTCTCCCGCGCGAGATTAATTTTAATTATCGGTGCGTTTAAACTCTCCCCGCGGTGTTCGGGCAGATGCTCCGGCCGAAAACGTGGCGGTGTTTAATCGTTCGGACGCGAATCGCGGACCAGAGGTGGATTAAACGAGTTGCCAATTTCAATTAAGGCCGCGATTACAAAGAAACCACCGGTTTCCTGGAAGAAAAGCCATTCGGCCACGGCCAATTTCATTTCCAATCTAATTTTTAACGCTCGCTGCCCACCCAAGAATATTCCACCCTACGCTGTTCGAACCACTTCCGCCGGAGAAAGCAGAATGAAATGGAACGAAATGGAATCGGGCTTGTATTCGAATAATTTGGAATAAATATTTATCGCGTGAAAGGCTCTCTCTCTTTCTCTCTCTCTTTGAAAAGAGGCGGCACTCTCGTTCGATAGGAAAGGAGGGATATTTGAAATTTGGGAGAGAAAGAGCTTGGTGATTGAGATTGAGGGCGAGATTGTTTCGATTTTTAGAGATATTCCTGCGTGAATAGTTTGCGATTGGGATAATGAAAGGGAAATAGATTGAAATGAGATTGGCTGGGAATAGAATTTGAAAATTCAGTATTCGCGTATTACACATTCTGTTTGGAAATTGAGGATTTCGTGAAACGTTAGAGACGTCGACAATTATATTATATATATATATATATATATATATATACATAGGGTTATATTATGAGATACATGTGTGTTTTGGTTATTATATATTAGGGTAATATCATGAGATACATGTGTGTTTTGGTACTTGGTAATTTTCACTATGTTCAAATTTATTCGTATAAAATATAAGAATGATGTAATGCGAACGATATTGTCACAGAGAATTATATTATGTTTTATTATATACAGAAAACGTGTCGGCGTGAATTTAATCTTGATTAAACAACAATGATCTTGGAAGTTGATTTTTACAAACAATTTGCAATTTAATTGCATCCTCTAAAGCGTGGTACGTTGTAGCAGAATTAATTACGCGTAATTAAAAACACTACTACCTGCGATAAATATTGAACGTTCAGAGTAAAAATAGTATCGTAGAACTTTCAAATGAAGCTGGTGGAGTTCACACAAAAAATTGATAAAAGTTGATAAAAATTCAGAAAATTAATATTGGAAGTGGGCGAACGCTCGAAAGTTCAGATCGAGCCGTATTGGGTCAGGTCAGGAGTCGGAAATACCACGCAATTGCAAAATTTGGGGATTCACGAGAATCCTTTGAGTTTCGGGTTTCTCGAAATATTTCAAGATTTCGAATTTTCTACATTAATTCCAATATTAATACACAGAGTGTTCTCTACAATTTTATATGCTGTGTCTGCATTTTATGTACAATTATGTGCTTCGTGCAACTAATGGTGCCCATACAGAGGTATATTAAATGAGACAGAAAGAAACTTGAATACATACGTCTTATTTTGTAACAATTTCCACTTGTCTGTCTTTTCATTTACCTCTGCAATAAATTTTTGAAATCGTATAGAGACTTTACGGACACCCTTTTATATTAATTCTTTAAATATTCATGAACTTTTATCAATTATACTAAAACGATAACAACAAGCTGATATATCACGCATGTAAAATCATTGGGAAATCAACAAAGGACTCCTCCCCTCGTCGAATCGAACGGCAGTATCTCCGGAAGGCATAAAATCGACGTGTCTCACAATAAAAGCGGTCGTTTCGAATCGTCCACCGGGGTCGGTTGCAATATTCACGATCATAGTGCACGTGTTCCCTTCGAAATCGAGAATTCAGCAGCAGCGCGAGCCCCAACTGGATTCAATAAAGTGCCTGGAGAGTCCGACGGCCCATCGAGAACTCGCAGATCGATCCTCTCGCCATTTTCTACAGAGGGAAATCGGCTAAACGCGAACGAAGTCGGACGAGATCGCGCAGATATTTGTTTGAAATTTATTTGCGCACTAGTCGTTGTAGCTCACTCACGGGGGGTTGTGTAGTGGGAATAAGCATGGTTTCTGTGTCATGTTTGTAAATTTATAACATTCTTTAGGTAGTTGGAGTATAGTATTATAGTTAGGTTGCGTGACGAGATAACACTGGTACGTATTACTTTGTTTGAACGTCCTTTACAAATGAATTAAAAAAGTTTAAAGGTATTTTTTTTTTTTTTTTTAAGAAAATAAGTATTATTTCAATGAACAATATCTTCTGTAGTAACGAATAATTCTTTTGTGTTACATTTTCAATTTCATTTTGCACCTTGAATATTTTATCATATTTCGTGCTCTCATTTCTTTCGTTGAAATGATACAGTTTCGATTCGTACTACGTGTTTTTCTTTTTCTTTTTTATTTTTTTTTTGTTCAGCGTGCATAGGATTTTTATAATATTTTAAATACAGGTATTTAAAATGTATCGTCAAGAGACGACCGAAGCAATCACACGACACAATAAATTTCCGACTGACTGTGATAATTTTCATTATATTGCTGAAATTTGGGATATTTTACACTCGTTAAATTACCAAAATTTGGAATATTTTATACTCAGAGAGACTTATATCCAGAGATATATACTTTATTCCCAGAGAGATTTAGCATTATAATGAAATTAAATCGAGTAAAAAATTCTAAAATTGAGTAACATAAAAGTTTAAATTATTTCTAGCTCCGATGTCTAACGATAACAGTAGTTACTATCTTTAGTGAAAACTCACAAAATATTGTAGGATGGATATATGATACGCGTTTATTTGTAAATGAAGAATAAAATAAGCTCATCAGCTATCGCTAATTTTTCTAAAACAAGCTCGAACAATCAGCTATCAGATTACAGAACGAATTCGAAACGAAGTTTAAAACGAAGTTTGGTACATTTTAAGATACACATTTACGTTCATCTTACGTTCAAAAAAAACGGAATTACTTTTTGACCAACCCAATGCAACCCTCAATTTATACCATTGTACACTGAAGACTACAACTTTGAATTATAATTTAGAATCTCACCAACTCAATTTAATTAACTTGAAAACCTTCGATTCGATCGGAGGAGGAACCGAGACCCACCGAAGTAAAATCGAACTTCAGTCAGTCTGCCATAAATTCCATTCAGTTTGCTGAATGAACGAAATTTACGAAGTGTAAATTTTATCAACCCTCAACTTGCACCATTGTACACTGAAGACTACAACTTTGAATTATAATTTAAAATCTCACCAACTCAATTTAATTAACTTGAAAACCTTCGATTCGATCGTAGGAGGAACCG